GGAGAATTTTGCTTTTGACATTTCTCAGCATGCTATCCTGTAATTGCTCGGCTAACCTTGCTTGCTTGGTGCATATATACCCAGGAGCTTCCCACAACTCTCTGTTCATAGCAATCACCTAAATACAAACAAAGAAGACAGTCTCTTGCTGTTTTAACTGGCTTGTCTTGGGATGCCCCCGGAGAAGCCTAGAGGAAGCAGATCTGCCTGGAGCAGCAGATAAGAACAGCAAACAGGCCCAGTCTTTGGGTTGAACCCAGCTGCTAGTCAGAAGTAAACCCACTGACTCAATTGTTGAATGGTGCTTCAACCCTTAAATACATCTCATTGATTCAATGGGTCAATTTCATTTGAAGCAACCAGCTGCAGTCAGGCTGCATGATCTACTGAAAGGGTTAGACCTTTAAAAAAAAGAAAACAGAAAACAAACCTGATGAGAACCAGATCCAGGGGTTTCCTTTAGTATGCATTTGGACACAAAAGTTGCAGTTGAAAACTAATAGAAAAGAGCCATCTCATTTTTTCTGTTGATTTCTAAGGTAAATCAACAGAATTTCCCCTTGACATTTTAGTCAGTCGTGTCTGCCTCTAGAGGGCGGTGCTCATCCCCATTTCCAAGCCGTAGAGCCAGCGTTTGTCCGAAGACAGTTTCCGTTGCCACGTGGCCAGTGGGGCTATACACGGAATGCTGTTTACCTTCCCACTGAGGTGGTACCTATTTATCTACTCGTATTTACATGCTTTCGAAATGCTAGGTTGGTGAGGAGCTGGGACAAAGCGATGGGAGCTCACTCTGTCACATGGATTTGATCTTACAACTGCTGGTCTTCTGACCCTGCAGCACACAAAGTTGATTTCTATTCGTTCTCAAATGCACAACTTTTCCCCCATTTTGTATCCAACTGTACTTTTTTTTTTTTAAAAAAAAGGCAAAACCAACCAAACAAGAAAAAAGCCAACTTTTCCTCCCATCTGGTGCTTCACATAAACTGGTCTTTTATATATATTTCCTCCTGAGCTTAACTAACAACCAATGTTCTTACATCCAAACTACTTGCTAAGGGATTGTGAAAGAGCCTTAATTTTTTCACCTTTTTCACTACTTGCCATCAGGTGCACTGCCTGGAGTGGTGATGGTGACTTGGGATGTGATTGTATAGGAAAACAGATCGCTATTTGGACCGCTTGTGGAGTAGTCTGGTGCAATCTGTTTCACAGTGATGCCACTATGTATGGGGAATTGCAGTCCAGCCTGACCCCCCAATCTGTGCCCAAAGTAGACCATTTTAGTCCAGCTGTAGGGCTTCTACTTCTGGGGATCAGACTGGAATGATTCCCTGCCTGATGGAAGAGCTTTGCAGGCATCTTATTTCACCCTGAGTTCTGTACAGCATCAGGCATTTGAAGGCAAGGCTGATGATCACCTTAGTGATATCACTATTATAACTGGTTCTAGTGGGAATTTCTCTTTTTCAAGGGATCTCTGGCTGCTTCTAAAACTGAGCTTAGTTTCTCAGCTTCCATTCAAAATGGACCACAATGTTTCTGGAGCCTGCGCTCTAAAACCTCCTGACAGTGATGGCTTCTCTCCTTCTATGCCAATGTCCAGGTTCAGAGTTTAGGATGGCATTTTTGGACTACAGTTCCCCAAATCCCTAGGCAGCAGAGCCTAATATAAGGGAAAGAAGATACTTTCCTTTTCTTTACCAGCAATATGGTAGGGCTGCTGGGATGCCAGATGATATTGCCTCTGGCTCTGATCCAATTGGCTAGCCATGGTGGCTAGTCTACACCATCTGTGGTACACACTGAATACAATATTCGATCCTGATAGAAAGTCCTGTTTAGCTATGATCTCAGAAAACTCATCCACAGCAAAAACAAGTAGTGCAAGAGATACAGCTACACTATATTAATGTCTCTTAGACTATCACAGGGGAAGAGAAAAAAATGCTGAGGTTTTGCCATCATTTGCATTATAATTAAAACTTGGGGGCAGTTTGGCTAAAGGCTGAATATTTCGAGGAAAATTAATCTGCTGAGGTCAATCATTCAGTCTCAAAAGGTTACAATTTTTAAAAATTGTTTCATTGTGAACATCTCTCACCACAGCTTTTGGAGTAAGAATGGAAAGAAGGAAGAATGAATGAAGAGAACAGGAGGGAGGGGACTATGCTTTACATAAGGCCCTTAAGTTTTAAAATCTAGCAAATGGCACAAACGAAACTATTTAAAAAATTGTGAGAATTATCTTTGACTTATTGCTAAAGTTTTAAATGTAAGCCTGCAATGAAAGCTTCTGTCATGTTGGGGGAAAAAACTTTTTCTGCTTAATGAATGGGAAAAAAAAGTCTCTTTTTTTGGTTCCTTGAAAATCCAGGGTATAAAAGTGAAAGCATTATGGGAATTTGAGGCTTTTCTCATGTTTTTCATCAGCTTAGAAAGAAAAGGAGCCTAACACAATTCATTTGTAATTCTAACCTTGTTTCAAACTACAGCAAAATCTTCCTTCAACGTTTTGATTAGATTGTGCACTTCACAAACGTCTTGCAAACCTCTTCACTTCCACAGGCTCATCATCTCATTTAGCTATAAATGAAAAGAAAAGGATCAAACATGTCATGCTATACTTCAACTGTTCTTGATGTTTATCATATCAATCAGAAGCTTGTCACATGGAGGTGATCGCTCAGGAATGCAAACCTTCGGTAGCAATGCACGCTTACTTACGAGGGGGTAGGTTCTGCCAAGCACAGTGGAATTTACTTTCAACTAAAAGTGAATAGGATCGTACTACAACTCTTTCAATTTTTCCTTATTGTAGTATTGGGTAATTTTGGTTGGACTGAGGCCATTATTTAGATTGCCAGTCAACCCCATGGCTACATTAGCCATGGGGCAGGGCTAGGGTGGGGATGAGTGCAGCCAAACACACTAATTTCTATTTTACATTTTTTGAAATATGAGATAGAAAAATTAGTCATTTACAACCCTATTAAAAATATTTTTCCATGAATAAATTCATAATTCCCTGCAATAAAGTGATTAAAATTCATAATTAAACCCCACCCAACACATATTTAAATAGGACACTAACAAACACAGGATGTATTTTTTAAAAAATATTTTGTTTTATTACATTTCATAAAATATTGTTCATTCTCTGACAAAACCATTCCTAATTTATCTGATAAATCTGATAAATCCCCCAGGTTTTTTAAAAATGTATTTAATTCCCGACACTTATGCTTATTGTATTCGCGAAGGCTTTCATGGCCAGGATCTAATGGTTGTTGTGGGTTTTTCGGGCTCTTTGGCCGTGTTCTGAAGGTTGTTCTTCCTAACGTTTTGCCAGTCTCTGTGGCCGGCATCTTCAGAGGACAGCACTGACTCCAAAGGGGGGAGGTTTTAGTTTAGTAGAGGGTTTAGTTTAGTTTTTCTTTTTTATTATTCTCTTTTTTCTTGCTCTATTTTTTTATGTTGAATTTAAATTTAAAAAAAAGAAAGTGAAAAAAAGGTGGTAGGTAAGTGGCCTATCGAACTCTCTGACTGAGTGCTAAGTACTCCTTAGGAAGGCTTGGGCACCACACCATGTATAAATATTTGACATGTTGTATCTCCTTCTCTTATGTCTAATGAAGTGAATTTGTCCATTAAAGCTCACATTAAAAATGTTAAAGTTAGTCTTTAAGGTGCCACTATGTCTTTATTTATTTATTTATTTATTTATTCATTCATTCACTCATTCATTCATTCATTCATTCATTCATTCAATTTCTACCCCGGCCCCCTAGACAGACCCCTACTCGGGGTGGCTTACAAATATCATAAAATATCATTAAATACAATAAAACATCACAATTATAAAACATTTAAACAATAATATAGTGTGATCAAGATGGGGAATGAAAGAACAGAACGATAGATTTCAAGAATTGACAGGAAGGAAGGCCTGCCTGAAGAGCCACGTCTTCAAATGGCTCTTGAAAACACCCAGCAAGGGAGCCAGACGGATCTCTGATGGAAGGCTGTTCCATAGTTGAGGGGCCACTGCCGAGAAGGCCCAGTTTCTTGTTCTTTCTTTCCAGGCCTCTCTCGGCGTTAGGCCCCTCAACCATCCCTCCTGGATATGCAGAGTAATTCAGGTAGATCTGGGTGGGGTTTTTGTCTTTTTAAAATTGTTCTTTTCTTTTCGTCCAGGTATTCTTGGACTGTAAATCCCAGAATCCATCACCAGTAGCTGTGGTTACCAAGATTTCTGAGAGTTCCAGTCAAATAACACCTGGGTTACCCAAGACTGGGAACCACAGCTCTAGTGCCCAGAAAGACAGAATCAGTGAGACTAGGGGAAGGGGACTGAACAGGTTGTTGTAGCCAATTAAGTAAGGTGGAAGTCTTAATCAAGAAAGTGCAAAGGGAGGTTGACTAAAGACTTCCTTGAACTATTAAGTTGCTTTTTCTGGGTTTAATAGTAATAACTAACAGTAACAAATAACACACTATAATGGAAACTATTTCTGCATTTTGGCAGACCCTTAGTCCTTAATCATCTTCATTCGTTCAGTTGGGTCGCAAAATGAGAAGAGGTTTATTTGGCCTTTCAGATGGAAACCCCCATGATATAGTGTATCTTGAAATGACAAAATGCATGCAAAATCTTTTGCCTCAGAACACTTGTTTAAAGCAAGTCAGTGATAATGAGGAAATGGGCAGATTCACAGAGGAAACCACCAATCTTCAAAGTGGAATATATGAATCCTGGCATGTCTTAGCAATCTTGCTACTCCAAGTGCATATGTCTTCTTTTTCTATCATTTTGCCTGTTGAGTCTTCAGAACAACTTTCTTGTGTAACAGTAAAACAGAAGAGTCAGAGAAACAGCCCTGTCTGGGATACTCTCAAAAAAAAGTTGTGTTCTAAAAATGTCAGCGCTGAGATCTTCTCACCTATTTCCATAGGCATTCTGGAACTAGAATCTCACGGTTTTCATATAAGGAAACTGTTGGCCATTTTCTTAGAACACATCATTTTCCATCTTGCTGCTACTGCTCTTTCCTTCAAATGATCTTTTAAAATAATCTATCCACCTACCCATTGCCATCTTCTCTTTTTTGCTTTGACTTCCCCCCCCACAAAAAAAGCCAATTTCCGTTTCACAGCTAGTGGATAATTACTCTTTGATCTGCTAGGTAAATAATGGATGAGATAATGCCACAATGAGAATATATATAGATGATGATGATGATGATGATGATGATGATGATGATGATGATTGTTATTGTTGTTGTTGTTGTTGTTGTTGTTTTAATAATAATAATGCACTAAGATTATAAGGATGCAATAAATAGTGCCTTCCAATTGTAGGCAGCATCCACCAAACTATCAGCACTATGATGCATTAGGAGTTTCAGTTCCCAGAAATAGTGGGAGGTTAGAAGGAACTAGACTGAAATTCATTGGAGGTTGCTGGTAGAATACTTCTGAATGTAGTGATGAAAAAAGAAAGAATAATAAGGTAGGGATGTGATGCAGAACAAAGGGAATGTGTTCAAAATAAGTAAACCAGGTGCTTCTATTTATTGTGGGATGTCATAAATCAGCTCAGCTGAAGAAACAAAAGAAAGACTGATGAAAGTGTAATGCTTTTCCTTCCTGATACATAATTTACCTGTGAAGCTCATTATGTCAAAGCATCAGTGACTTTGGAAGTCAAGTGAGATTTGGAAAGAATTTTGAAATGTATAGCAAAATATTCCAAGTCCATGACAGAAACAGAGTGAGGGGTATTTGGGTACCCCTCAATTAAGGGCATGAAGTCTCACATAGGGTCCCTAATACCATAGAAAATAAGAGCAGTTTCTGTTCAGATTCAGAGCTTTGAAAAGCTACTTTTTGTGCTATAGGTCTTAGAATCTCTTGTTAGAGCAACTTTTTTGCACTCTGGAATTATTATCATTCATTACAGGTATTTTAACTCTATTTGAAACTTCAGATGGTAGCATTGTTACAAGCTTTGTGGAGATCCCAGCACCCTCACTTTGGAGACAGGCCTTTACAAACTTATTCTGAGAGGTCTGTGATTGATGACGGGAAGACAAGCACTTATACCTTGCTAAAGATGTGCATCAGGAAAAAAGTAGATGTAGTTGCATAGCAGTTGCATCAAACTGGAACATGCTTACTCATAGATGAACATTCAGAAATAACACAATACTTTAATTCAACATTGCCATTATAGTGTAAGTGGATACCATGCTGAATTAATACTCTGGGGGCCTGGATTCAAATTTCAGCTTAGTAATGGAAATGTACCAGGTAATGACAAACCACTCCTTGAACATCTCACATACCTTGTAATGTCAGGTCACCATGCACCGAAATCAAGTTGGTTTCTTTAACAACAGCAAAACAATACATCTCATCCTAGCAGAGAAAAATATGGTCAGGGGTCACAGACACGTATAGACATGACTGTGTTTGCTGATTTGTTTAGGATTCTTTTTTCAGTCTCCTTGCAGCATAATGCATTATTTTTCATTTAATAAAGGTCCTTACCAAGAGTATGCAGTGGCCCATCATTCTGGCTGATGTCTAAATAAGGGCACACAACTAAGCTCCAAACCTGTCCTGTGTCCTTTACATCAGTGGTCCCCAACCTTGGGCCTCCAGATGTTCTTGGACTACCACTCCCAGAAGCCTTCACCACCACCTTGGCTGGCCAGGATTTCTGGGAGTTGAAGTCCAAGAACATTTGGAGGCCCAAGGTTGAAGACCACTGCTTTACATGACATCCCAACCTGATGCTTGTCTACGTCCATGCCAGTATTTGCACAGATTTCCATGAAAAACCCAATTCCGATGAATGGGAAAAACGAATGGCTGTTATCTGGGAGGTTGTAGTAAATAGGCAGATTTTTCTTATGGCCATAGGACCCATTCTGTAACTATGCAAAGGCCGGGCAACAGTGAGATTTGCACCACCAGAAAGAAGCAGAATAGCAGAAGTGAGGGAGGGGTCATGCATTAATTCTGACCTAGCCAATAAAAGCCCATACGGGAAGGAAACAGGCGTTCATCCTCAGTAATATGTGTACTTTGTCCTAATAGTTGCACAAACTCAGAATCCAATTCTACTACTAAAAAAAGTCCTCTTTGAGTTTAGCACATTTTGCATTGATTTTAATTTGGGTTTTTACATGAGGCACGTGCATGCAAAGATGAATCTGGAAGGGGATCCTTTTTAATGTGTGGTAGAGCTATTTTACTCCTCCGCTAGAGGTGTGTTTATTTAGTGTGCATATGGAATTGATTCATTGGAATCAATTCCACGCATGCCCCTGTCTGCCAGACTCAACGGCTACATAGTTACACCTAACCCGCTCCCTCAAAAAACCACATTTTTTAAAAAAAGTAGATCACATGAGATTATACTATATATCATATAGCCCCGAGTAGACATTGTCTAGAGGGGCGGGGTAAAAATCGAATAAATAAAATAATAAATAAATAAAATAAATAAAACTCCAAAATAAAAAAAATTTATTAACAATACAACCTTATAATATCTTCTCACAAGCAAGTCCTATTGATAAGTAAATGGGGTCTAGGATTGCAACTGAAATGTAACTATGTTGCAAAAGCATACAGTAAGCTATCTACAAATTTTGCAACCTTTCACTTTGGATATTTTGAAGACCAACAGATTTCACTTGTAGCAGCGCTACTTCTGTCTTCAGATGCAAAAGTAGGTCAGGGCCTTTGCATGTTTAGCAGTTCTTGGAAGAGAGAGTTTCAGCAAGTTTTAGTGGTGGAACTTTCCATACAAACTTTGCCTGCCAAAATTCCTTATTTGTAGAAATAAGGAAGGCAACAGCACCCTATTCATTTGCCCATCTGACCACTCAAATTTGTCAGTATATTCATTTACTTAAACAGATATGAGCCATGCTAATGTATAGATTCCCATCAACTTTCTATTGCAAATGTAGTTGGTTTATGCACAAGTATTTGCAAAAATATTTTTTCATGATTTGAAAAGGTAGTAATTGGGTTACATTCCTTATTTGTGTTTGCTCTAGGTACCCCAGTTCTTGTCAATGCACTTGTCAAATGCAGTCCATAGTACTTTGGCCTGCCCAGCAAGAAACCATAGCAACATCTGGGTATGCATAGGCAGAGTTGAAGCAATATTTGATAGTTATGCATTTGTTCTGCCTGTTAGACTGTAACTGATACGTATTAATTGGAAATATATATGACAGCTTGCATCACCTTTTTTTTAGTAGGGGAGGAAACATCAGAAGCCATCAAGATCCAGGACCGTGAAAAGAGATGAATCAAATGTGATGAGGTGTGACTTCAAACATGGTTTCATGCCTATGTGCTCATAATTTACAAGAATGCAGCAGAGGGAATGTAGGATTTCTCTCTCTCTCTCTCTCTCTCTCTCTCTCTCTGAGTGTGTGTGTGTGTGTGAATATAAAAATAGTCTTCAATCAGTGACTTAAAGCTGGGAGGAGAGAGAAGGGTAGTTGAAATGATTGCCTGTCACTTTAAGAAGGGAGGCAATTACCAATTCAAGTGCACCTGTAAAAACATTGACAATTCTAATCAAAGGCAATCATCCTGATTTCATAATACAAGATTCATGGCAACACTAAGCCTTGTGAACTGCTTCCCAAAAGAGATCCTTCTATGGACCAAGGGATGAGGAAGGAGTAAGAGGAATAGGTCAAGAATAGGATGAGTTTTGTTTCAATATTAGCCCATACATAATTTGCACTAGTTTAGTATCAAGAGACCAAAGCTTTGCATATTTTAAATATACAGTACTTTATTATTTATGGTTGTTGGTTGGTTTAGTGACCTTGAACACTGTCTAATGTTGGCACAGAAAGACGTTCAGCTCAATGGAACAGCATTTTCTTAGAAACAAAGGGTTCACTTTGTGGAGCCTCTCTTTAAAAAAGATATACATGGCACACATGCACACAGACACAGACACAGACACAGACACACAGACAGACAGACACACACACACAGAGAGAGAGAGAGAGAGAGAAAGAGAGAGACAGAGAGAGAGAAGACCCTAAGACAGACCCTAGGTAGTTAAAATCAAATGAAGCAGGAAGTCAAATTGTGTTGGATGGATCAATGTCTGATGGAAGGGCATGCATACATAAACCAGTGCTGCTGTCAGTACTGATAGGGGAGCAAAGACACATGAATTGTGCTTTTTCAAAGCAGCTGGTGTTTCTGTTCCATGAATCTTTGCTATCTCTATCTGGATGTCTGGATAATCAGATACTGCCATACACTTATGAACAAGTGGTTTAGCAGCTGCTTCACAGTACTAGCTCCCCTGGAGCTTAGCATCAGCACTGACTGGGAATGGTCTTCCAAGGTTCCAGGGAATATCTTTTCCCGACCCTAGAATGCTCATCAAAACCTTTAGGACAGGAAGCTGCTCCATATGGAATTAGCCCATTGGTCCATCCCTGACCCACTACTGTGAACTCTGACTTGGAATTGGGGTCTCCTGCATCTCTACCAAAATTCCCTCATGCTACACAGACAACTGCATGTTAATATATGGGTGCTGTTATGGAAGGTTATTATTTTATTTATTTATTTAAATATTTTTACCCCGCCTTTCTCCTGAAGAAGGACTCAAGGTAGCTTACATCATTAAAAGGCAATATTCAAAGCTACAAAGAGTACGTATACAAATACTAAAAGGGGCAAAACAAATACCATGCTTAAAAAAAAACATAGCCAACAGCAAAATACATTCAAAGCAGTAAGGAACAACTGTCCATTTAAAAATCCCAGCCAGGCAGCCACTCACTGGGAAAGCCTGCCTGAAGAGAAAGGTCTTTGTCCTCTTGTGGAAGGACAGCAAAGATGGGGCCAGTCTGGCCTTCTGTGGGAGGGAGTTCCAAAGCCTTAGAGGAGCAACAGAGGAGGTCTTCTGCTGTGTCCCTACCTAATGTGCTTGAGTGGCGGGGCCCTCACAAGTTGTGCTACACAGTGATAATGGTTGTTGCTGGAGTTATTGTTTTCTTATTTTACAACACCCTTTTTAAAACATTGTGTGATTAAACCATCAAAACCATAAATAATAAACATGGAGAATAAAAAACTGCATTGTCAAGCATACTATGAAAAAGAAAAATGCTGAGTAATAATAAAAATGCACATCGATCAGCAGCACTTCACCTAAAATATAGCAGTTATTCCGATGCAGATGAATACAGTAGGAAGGGTGGCGCTTAACTCTGGCCTCCTCGGCTGGGGAAATACTTTATTATGGCTAAATCGGAGGTGAAGCCATACGTAAGGTGGTTCATTTTTAATATTGCAAGCTGACTTTGAGGAGCCAAGATCCTTTACTTGGAAATTTTGTTTATAAATGGTATAAATGCGTGTAATTATTATTAAAAATAGACACCGTTTGATCTTTGCCTTAAGAGGCCAAGAAATGAGACATAGAAAGACGTGCCTGTTTAGTAAGTGCTTCCAAGTTAATTTCACATGTGGAGCACGTTGGTTTTATGATATTACTATTGTATTGTTTTATACTTGTTTATATGCATTTACATTTGATTTCAAATACAGTGGTGCCTCGTTTAACGATTGCTTCGTACAACAAAAAATTCGCTTAACGATGGCTTTTTTGGAGCAATCTTGTGCTTCACTTAACGATTTTCCCTATGGTCAATTTTCACTTAACGATTTCGGGCCCATGCTTCACTTAACGATGACAGTTTTAGGTCCCCTTGTTTCGCTTAACTTTTTTTTACAGCCCCGTTTTTGCTATTTAAAAAATATTCTAAAATGTTTTAAAAAATGTTTAAAATGCTTGGAATTGGTAGTGCACCTAATAAAACCTTCGTTAACTTAATTTGGCTTTGTTCTGAGTCTTTTTGAATTTTTTGTGAATTTTCCCCCCCATTGAAATAGGCTTCAATGCATTTCAATGGGTTTCGCTTAATGTTTTTTTAATGTTTTTTCCTATGGGGATTTTCGCTTAAGGATGGTAATCCGTTCCAATTGGAACGGATTATCCGGTTTTCAATGCATCTCTATGGGAAATGGTGTTTCGCTTAACGATGTTTTCACATAGCGATGTGTTTTTTTGGAACCAATTAAAATCGTTAAGCGAGGCACCACTGTACAGTTTTTAAGACTTAGTCTAATTTATGCTCTTGCGTGCAGCCTCATTAGCTACAAAGCCATAAAAGTATGTGTATATTTAATTTAATGTGAGCATATTTAAGCATTTAAATGTTATAAATAAAAATATAAAATTTGAAAATGTCAAGGGTGGCCTCTGAGCAGGTATTGATACAACAGATTATTTTCTGGGGTCCACATCTCTTGAGAACACCCTGGGCTTCTTGGACTACTTCTTCCAGAATGCTCAAGCTGGTTGGCTGGGGTAAATTGGACTTGTAGTCCAGAAACAGTTAACCTCCCCAGGGTCTACTTAGTGTCCTAATTTAATTTTTTAAAAGGTTGATCGCGGGAAAGCAATCATCGCAAAGCCCCCATTTTCGGCCAGCTAATCGGTGGTTCCAAAATGGCCACCGGGGAAAAAATGGCTGCCCGCTTTTTTGCCTCGCTTTAGAGGCACTGAAAATGGCCTCCACAATGGAGGATTTTCGCATAAGGTTAGTTTTTAAGCCCATAGGAACACATTAAATACATTTTAATGTATTTCTATGGGCTTTTAAAAATTGCTTAGCGATGTTATCGCTTAGCAGCAATTTTTGCTGCACGGATTAACATAGCTAAGCGAGGCACCACTGTATAATGAAAATTAAATGATAGGGTCATATGCATTTTCTAGGGGAGGGAATTCCACAAATGTGGTGACACTACAGAAAGTCCCTGCCACTGTTACCCAATGGCCTGCCATTTCCTATGGTTTGGCCTTAAAATACAACCATAAAGTTTGCCCAGTGTGGAAGGTGCTGCAGATAAACCTTAGGTATAAATAAAGGCCATCGAGCACTTTAAATAGGGCAAAGAAGCAATGAGAGACAGCCAATATAATTCAGAATTGGTCCAACATGCTTTGATTATGTGGTCCCTTCAGGCATTGTTCCAGCCTGAAGGGACCAAATAATCAAACATTTCCAAATGTTAGAAATGTCAGTTATATATGCTAAATAACATTTCCAACATTTCATTTCAAATGTGACCACACAAAACAATGTCTTTCAGTGACCTAACCCAGATATAACCAGAGCAACACATGTCACTGACACCCCAAAAATTTCTGTAATGACCAGTTTGAAAAAGAACATGGTGATAGGCATCCTGGCTATCTTTGCAACTGTGTTCTGTTTGGTTGTGTCTGACAGAATTTCCACATTGTCAACAAGTAACAAGAAGAAATTTAATAGAAGTACATTTACTGACATGGAAAAAATAGAGTAATTGCGGAACCACTGCCCATCTCAAGCTCTTGAAGTCACACAATTGTTGTCAGGAAGTAGGTCCTAGCACACTAGCAGGGGTTCTGTGGAACCCATACGTTCACTGATTCAGAATGGAACCAATTTTTCACAGGATCAATTCCTGATATCTAGAATCATAGAATCACAGGATAATTGAGTTGGAAGGGTCCTATAAGGCCATTGTGTCCAACCTCCTGCTCAATGCAGGAATCCAAATCAAAGCAGATACGACAGATGGTTGTCCACTTTTCTATTGAATGCCTCCAGCATTGGAGCACTCACCACCTCTAGTAACTGCTTTGCATAATAAGCTGATTAATGCAGAGCAACTGTGAATGAGATGCAGTGTGTTTACACATGACACATCTCTGCTCTGAACTGTAATATTCAGTTGAAAGGCTGTAAACTAAACAGTTTAGTTTAAGGTCAGTAACGTCATAGACAGTGTCCCTGTGAATCGCTATCCGATTCTGAAACATTTCAATGTGGGAACAAATGATTCTGGTGGACTTCGATTCAGGCAAGAGAATGCAGCTCTTTTCAGTGACACCCCAATAAGATGTGGATTGTATTGAAGAAGACTGCACAATTAGTTTCAATCACACAACAATTTGAAATTGGGTACTCGGAAAATGATGCTTCTTGTGTTTAGTTTGAAAGGGCATCTAGATGTGATGGGGGTTGTGCTGAAAATAGTCGTTGTCGTGTTGACTTCACCTCTGCAGTGTATCATATCTCTGAACTGACCGTGCTGAGCAGAGTTTCCTTGAGCTTGATTATTATTTTTTCCTCGACATTTTGTGGAAGCAATGAAAATATTTGGGGAGGAGGCTGGAATCTTAACTCTTTCATGCACTTTACATTTCTGTTCCTAGATGCTACTCTTCAAAGGAAGAGACAACCTGGTGAGCAATCCTTGCCATTGTTTAGCTTCCGGCACGTTCATTGTCAAGAGTATCACACAACGTTTGCCCAGTCTGAATCTAACGACTTTCTGCTGCAGGGGACTTTTGGAACAGAATGGTCATGAAGATATGAATTTGAACATGTTCTTGGACATGAAATCAATCCTCTGACACAGTATATAAGGATGTTTGCTGTCTGTGGACATTAATCAGGCTTCTCTCAATTATATCGCCTTTGTAATCCTTCCTTCGACACAACTTTATGGAGGGGTCAGCATGGGATCAAATCCAATAGTGATGAGGAAGGATCTGTGTATTTGTGCAGTTCTCCTAGTGGAGATCTTCTCAAGGGACTATGGGAGAGAGTCCTGCAAGTGCATGCCAAGCTCAGAAGTTATGGCACATAAGTAACAGAAAATAAAGTGGTTTCTGCCCACGTGGTTTCCCTACATAGTTTGCCTACATTCCTGTCATATTAGATTCCCTCAGCAACCAGATAATGGGAGAATGACTGGTCACTCAGCAGCTTCATGGCCAAAGTTGGAAGTCTGCCCTGAATGCTAGGACCGAAGCTCTCTGGAAATGTAACCTAATAAAGCTGTAACCAATTTGCTCCAACATAGGTGGTGTGATGTGGTGTCTTTCATTGTGCACAGTCCTGTTTACTGTGTCATGCTCTCCATGGTTCTTGCTGCTTGGTCTGCAAACAGACCAAGAACCATATCACCAGATCATATAACCAAGAAAGGGAACTGAAAAATATGAAAGCAGAACAATATATATTACATACTGGTTCTTAAATATTATTTACCATGCAGTACATGCCCAAAACTATGTGCGGATGCTTTCTGTGCTGTCAAGTCAGAACTGACTTATAGTAACCCTCATGTGGTCTTTCAAGGTAGGTGACACATTTGAGAGGTTTTACTAGTTCGATTCCCCCAGTAAGTTTCCATGGCGAAGTGGATATTTGAACCCTGTTCTCCAGAGTCCTAGTCTGGCATTCTATCCACTATACCACACTGGGAATCCAGATACCTTAAACTACAGCTGTGTGTAATGGTCCCTAGAAATTCTCCATTTATTGTAGGCATAGGATGCCCCCAGAAAAGGGCAATGCTAAACCACTTCTGAGTACTCTTTACCTAGAAAACCTTGAAAAGGGTTGCCATAAGAACTGCTGTGTAGCTCAGTAACTTAGAGATCCCTGGTTGTGGAGCCAAAGGTTGGGAGTTCCCCATTGTGCCTCCTTGAGAGGGGCTAGACTTTATGATGCATAGGGTCCCTTCCAGCTGTGCAGTGCAAAGGTTAACATTATTAATTGTGCCCAGAGAAATTTTGGGAACTATTTTAGTGAATTTCCTAGGGGAGGAGAAATTTACCAACAGTTTCTTCAAAGTAGGGCTCACTATTAGCAGTAGTTATGTAGCAACACAATTTCTTTCTTTTCTCTGGTGAGAGGGATACAACAATATTTTGCAAGGGGAAATAGTGACACCAGCAACTGTTGGCAGTCAAACGAGCAACTTACATTCTCTGCATTATCCTAGAAGAGTTGAGGGGGAAGGTAGTCATAACTCAAAAACATGGAGGGGAGAATAAATAAAATTCTAATAACTCTCCATTTTCATTTTTTAAAAATTTAATTTAATTTTTGAAGAAGAAGGAAAAAGGATCTCTGGAAATGTCTTCTAGAAATTTTGGACCATTTTTCAGGGTCCAGCTCTTACCCCAAGGTCACATAAAGGTTAAATTGCTGTGAGGCAGCTACCACTGAGGAATAATTGTGGGTATACTCTGTTTCTAATTCATTTGTCTGTAGTACTGATTCTTCTCCAAAACCCCTATGACTACTATGAGGGGGACTGAATGTCTTAAAAGAGGTAGACTTGGCACTTTGCCAAAACGTGTCTTCCAAATTCCCAAAGCCCCTCCACCTTCTATGAAAGGGGCTTCAGGATTAATGCTTCTGTCTCAATCTGTGTTGGCATCATGCATCAGTTTTGGCATATCATTGCCACAACCCTGCAAATGCTGCTGGATTGCTCCTGGCTTAGGCATCTGGCTGGGGAGACAGAGGTTGGGAGTTTGATTCCCCACTATGTCTCCTTGATAGAGGCTGGATATAGGATCTCTTCCAGCTTTGTGGTTCTAAGATGATTGTAGCGTTCAGCCCTGCCCTCACCTGTCCGTCACAGCTGAGCAGTAGAACAGCAGCCAGTGAGGGGACGGAAGGTGGTGCAAAAGGGGGAGGAGCTGGGATATAAATAAGGGTGTATGAGATATGTGGAGAGGGATGGCGTGAGAGGAGTGAGGAGAGAGGGAGTGTAGAGTTCTGAGTGAGAAGGCAGTGTGTTAATGAGTCAGTGAGAGCAGGGTCTGTGTATTAGAAAGTTCAGTGATTGAAAGAAATGGATTATCTGCTTGTGATTTACTTATTTCTTTTATGTAATCAAATAAATAAGTTTAAATTTTAAATACCTGGTGGCAGCTACTTGAAAAGAGGAGTGAGCACATACTGGAGGCCTGAGTTGTTAGAGGCCTCAGTGTGCACGCTACATAACGATGATGATAGATGTTCTCTGTATGTTTTTCATTATACTGTATATCTCTCTGTCACTTTTCAGCCTTCCTGGCTGGTCCATATTCATAGAAGCACAGAATCATAGAACAATGAAGTTGGAAGGGGCCTATAAGGCCATTGAGACCAACCCCTTGGTCAATGCAGACATATAAATCAATGGATATCTGCCAGGTGGTTGTCTAAATTTCTCATGAATACCGCCAGTGTTGGAGCACTCACCACCTCTTGAAATAATTGATTCCATTGCCATACAATGTCCTAACAGTTAGGAAGTTTTTCCTGACATTTGACAGAAATCTGGCTTCTTGTAACTTGAGCCCATTGTTGCATGTCCTGCACTCTGGCATGATCGAGAACAGATCCTGGCCCTCCCTTGAATGATAGTCCTCCAAGTATTTGAAAAGTACATATCCTTTAATCAGAAAAAAAAGGCCTATGAGGTAAAAGTTTCCTCATCACATTGTCCCTGGGCTTTAACTGAAGTAGGAAGTTGGAGAAGCCTCCAGCTGCTACAGAAGGTCTTGTGGAACTGAAGGTAGGACACTTGCATACAATCCTCAGCCACCTTCATAAGAATTTACCTGAAATTTTCTTCTATAGACACTTCTTGGAAGCAACTTCCCTTCAAAATGAAAAATAATGGTAGAAGAAGAAAAAGTTGTTGATGTAGCACTGCCCTAAACTAGTTCTTTCCATCAGCAGTTCTGATTGAAGGTTTAAAATCCAAAACACAAAGTACACTGAAAAACACCTTTTGGAACTTTCTCATTTAAATTTGACATTATCAGTCCATTCTAGGCTAAATTACACTAAATATCTGTATTTCAACATGATGAAAAAATGTCACCACTTACTGTTACTTGAGTGACCCCTACATCTTTTCTCTCTAAACAGGCATTTCTTTTCATTGTGCCAGGGTCTCTAATATGAGACTTAGCATAATGACTTTTATTTTATTTTATTTGGTTTCCCTCTGGAAGTTCATAATACCTTATTATAGTCTATGGTGATATAATGCCCTTTGCACATTGAATTATTTAGTAAAGGATCTTAGTCATTTAAACAGCAATCATTTTATTTGAAATGGGAGCTGATGGAATTCTAATGCTTATTCCTGACCTGAATTAATTCATTACACCTTAGAGTAAAAGCTTTTAAAAATATATTTTAATCAGATCTACTTATTTACATAAATAATTGGATAAACAAAGGAGCAGCCTTTATAAATCCCTTTCTCAGATGTGCTTAAAACTTCCATTGCTCTTTTAACTTTTCCTGTGAGCATCTTTGGATTAAGAACAAACTGAGGTAACTTTATGTCCTTTACAGTGCTATCTCTGCCCTGATGTATACAGCACCACACTGTGGTGTATACACCAAATGATGATTCACATCTCAGGGGCAGAGAGAGATTTGATTATCTACTTCTTAGTTTAACTAGTACTCCACTGTTTACCACAGGAGGAGGATTGGAAGAATCTGTCTGCATTGACAATGGAACATCTGCCTGTGGTTTCCCAAGGCAAGCCTAACATTGGGGTGGCAATCAAGCAGGAACAAAGCAACAACAGTTAATAACAGGAATGCTCATTTTAAAAAAAAATAACAATCATTAATGTTAGGCATGTATAACAAAGGCATCTAACAAATCTTCCTGATGTATGTTTTGGTGGCTGTTGTTTTACAATGGCATATCCATCCTTAGCATAACAAAATTTACAACAGACATCAAAGCTCTTGGTTTAGCACTAACAAGAAACATGGATAACACCCTTGCGAGTAGGGACAGTCCCCCCCCCCTGCAATCTATAGAGTGGCTAAAGCATGGATAAAACAAACACCCTTGCGAGTAGGGATAGTTCCCCCCCCTGCAATCTATAGAGTGGCTAAAGGACAATCAGTCAGCTTTTATTAATGAGCACATCTTTTCTACCCAGTAGGGTCACCTTTATTCCACAAACTAATAAACAAAAGTAAAACAAAAACGAACAATCTTTGTCTTCAAACCAGTTTGTTGGAACCTTGGCAAGGATAATCTACTGCTATAGAGAGACTGTTCCAGAAAATAGTGTCCAATTCTGACCCCTCCTTCCCCTTCAACTTCCAATGATAATCAGTGGAAGGTTTAGATTTGCAAATTAAAATTTGTTTTACAACCTGAATAGATTTGGGCACCAATCCAGGATAAATTCAGATTTATGAAATTATATCATGTCATCTCTGCTTACTTTTACAGCAGGAGTTGCCTTACATCACATTGGCCCAGGAAAAATTCTGGCTTAAAGTTTACTTTAGGTTCCTGTAGCACAGGAATTATTTCTGCTGTTCTCTGTAGAATTCGAAATATATAACTTACTTAACAGAACTCGGTGTACTTAAGCTTGCATTCTGCAAGCATAAGAGATGCCTTTCTGCCCATTATTAGAAATCCACTCAGTGACAGAGTAAAATGTATGGAAGAACACCAAAACTCCTAAAGACCAGTTTCCCACTCCACGCCTGATCTGCTTGCTCTGTGCTGCTGTGCTGCCATCTTATATTGAAACAAACTGCATGACTTCCATGTGAATGAATAAACTTCCATAATCAACTGTTTTATCACTCCATCTTTGGTTTACCTAGGGCTCATTGGACAGGAGAGCCAAGGTCTACCACAATCCCCCTTTCCACACACAACACAATTTTAGACATTCTACACAACACATTCTATACATAAAGCATAATAGGTTATTATGAAGTATATATTTCTGATTTAATTTTAAGACTGAATTTCTTACCTGAGCCAGCTTTCAAAAAGACCTCACCTGTTTTGAACACCTGCAAAGTTGATTGGTGTCCTTCACCTTCATTTGCTTTTCCTCCCTGTATTTCTAGTCACCTGATTAATATTAATAGTCAGATATTACAGTATGGGTAATATCTGACTATCATATTAGAGATGGGGACGAATATAAAAACAGATTGGCTTTTTTGATGAAAATAGCAGTTTCACTAAATATTCGTCCCTTCATATTCGTGGGTTCCAGAGA